GGGCTGCGGGATGTTTCCTTGGCTGGTTTCTCTCTGAGTCCAGCCCCACAAGGCCCGTGAGCCTCCTTCTCAGTGAGTACAGCTGGTTTTCTAACAGCATCCAATATGCTTGAGATAGACTGCACTTGGTTGGGGTGGACTTTACTTTTAACGTGCTGGCATTTTACTTATATTTTATATTTTGTAGTGAGGTTTTCCATCTATCTGCCTATCTAGGTTAGTGAGCAAGGTTAGTCTAGTTTTCTTTTTTTGTGTTGCATTTGTTGAGGTTGTGGTATCATGCCAATAATCAGAATAACATCAGTATCTGGCTGGGCAAGGTGTAATCCCAGCACTTTGGGAGGCCGGGGTGGGTGTTTCACCTGAGGTCAAGAGTTCGAGACCAGCCTGGCCAACATGGTGAAACTCCATTTCTACTAAAAATACAAAACTTAGCCGGATGTGGTGGTGGGCACCTGTAATCCCAGCTACTTGGGAGACTGAGGCAGGAGAATTACTTCTACCTGGGAGGCAGAGGTTGCAGTGAGCCTAGTTGGTGCCATTGCACTCCAGCCTGGGTGACAGATTGAGACGCCATCTCAAAACAAACAAAAATCAGTATCTTCCTCCATACCTCCCTATCTCAGCTTGTTAGAAATGCAGAATTAGGGGTCCACTCCAGACCACTAAAACCATTATCTACATTTCCACAAGATCCCCTGGAAAATCGCATTACAAATTCACATAGTTCGAGAAGCTGCCCCAGGCCTTATTCCTGAAAAACACTCCTTCCATCATCTCAGGAGCAAGCGACCTGGCTCTCCAGCCGGCCGGTTCTTCTTTCCAGCTCACTCCCTTACCGTGCTGATCCCAACTGTACCTTGATCCTGCCACCTCACATGGACCGCTCTCCTCCCACCGCCCACAACCCCTCCTCCTGGACAGGTGTGGATTCAATATTCCACCGTAATTATTACTACCTTATTGTACCCTTACCTTCCTGTCCTCTGCCTCCCTCCATGGAGCTATCTAGCAAAAACAACCCTGGTGGAGTCGAATTCATCACCTTCCCAGCAAAATGTGGCTGCTGAAAAACATGGAATAAGCCAGCTGACTGGTCCTTTACACCTGCTCCTCCCAACTCGAACTTCCAACACCTCCTCCCTCTCTGTACTGAGCAAATAAATGAATGACTGTTCTTCCTGTTTCCCTGAGAAAATGGAAGCCCTCAGAAGGGACTGTCTGCAAGTTCCAGGAATCTCGTCTGCCTGGCTCCCTGCCTCATGCCCACATTCTCTGCCTGGCCTCCTGGTACCGTGACCTCACCTGCCTTGCTCCTATCCAAGGTCACACCTTCCAGTGCACCCTGTCTTTCCCTTCTCACTCTTCTCACTCACTCAGGGACAGCTCTCCAGAAAACACCCCACGACCCGCATCATCACATTTTCCCTCTCTACTGAATCATTCCCACCACATTTAAGCACACTGGAAGAGCTTCCAATCCAAAACCAAAACAAAATGAAATAAAACCAAACATTTGCTTGGACCCCACATTCCCTCCAGCCACCACGCCATTTCTCTGCTCCTCATTAGAAACAAAACTTTATGAAAATGCTGTCTACACCAACGGTCTCTCTTTCTAGAGCCCCATTCTTTCTAGCGACTTTCTAGGTCTTGTCTGTCCATCTTTCTTTCCTTCTTTCCTTCCTTCCTTTCTCTCCTCTCGCTCTCCTCCTCTTTCTTTTTTTGAGACAGAGCTGTGCTCTGTAGCTCAGGCTGGAGTATAATGGCACAATCTCAGCTCACTGCAACCTCTGCCTCCCGGGTTCAAGTGATTCTCCTGCCTCAGCTTCCCAAGTAGCTGGGATAAGAGGTGCATACTACCATGGCTGGCTACTTTTTTGTATTTGGTAGAGACAGGGTTTCGCAATGTTGGTCAGTCGGTCTCGAACGCCTGACCTCAGGTGATCCACCTGCCTCCGCCTCCCAAAGTGCTGGGAGTAGAGACATGAGCGACCATGTCCAGCCAGTCTTATTCTTTCTAAAGACCACTCCAATCAGGTCTTGCCACTTACCTCTCCACCAAAACAGCTCTTACCAAGGAGTGGCCTCGCTGGAGCTGAGACCAATGACCAATAGTAACCTTACTTAACTATAAGCCGCATTTGGCAGCAGAGATCCATCCTCCCCACTGAAAGGTGTCCCCAGTCTTCCAGCAGATGGCTTCCTTCCTGCCTGCCTGCCTTCCTTCCTTATTTTTTTTATTTTTTGAGACATAGTCTCAATCTGTCACCCAGGCTGGAGGGCAGTGGTGTGATCTTGGCTCACTGCAATTCCACCTCCCTCGTTCAAGTGATTCTCTGCCTCAGCCTCCTGAGTAGCTGGGATTACAGGTGTGCACAACCATGCCCCACTAATTTTTGCATTTTTAGTGTTGATGAGGTTTCACCACATTGGACAGGCTGGTCTCAACCTCCTGGCCTCAAGTGATCCACCTGCCTCTGCCTCTCAAGGTGCTGGGATTTTAGGCATGAGCCACCACTCCTGGCCGGATTTTCCTGGATATCTTCCTACCACACTGACTCCTCCTTCTCAGGGTTCTTTGCTGGTTCCTAATCATTCCCTGACCTGTCACTGTTGGGGAACTGGACTTAGCACGAACACTCACTTCCTAAAGAATCTCACTGTCCAGAGGTTTTACCTACTCTGAGAACTGCCAAAATTCTGTCTCTGGCCCAGACTTCTCCTCTGAACTTTCTTTCTTTCTTTCTTTCTTTCTTTTTTTTTTTTTTTTTTGAGACAGTGTCTTGCTCTGTCGCCCAGGCCTGAGGGCAATGGCAAGCTCTCCACTCAACGCAACCTCCACCTGCCGGGTTCAAGCAATTCTCCTGCCTCAGCCTCCCAAGTAGCTGGGATTACAGTGCACACCACCATGGCTGGTTAATTTTTGTATTTTTAAGTAGAGACGGGGTGTCACCATGTTGGTCAAGCTGGTCTCGAACCCCTGACCTCATGATCTGCCCGCCTCAGCCTCCCAAAGTGCTGGGATTACAGGCGTGAGCCACTGCACCCAGCTTCCTCTGAACTTGGGTGTCCAACAGGCAGCTCAAACTTTATATGTCTCTAAATAAATTCCTAAATTCCTTCCTTCACATCTGTTTCTGCTTAAATTTTCCCCATATCACCAAATTGTATCTTCCAGTTGCTTGAGAAAAAAAAAAAAAATTAGAAATCAGGAAAATCCTTTTAGCTTTTTTTGTTGTTGTTCCTTGAGTCAGGGTCTTACTCTGTGGCCCAGGCTGGAGTGACAGTGGCACAGTCACAGCTCACTGGAGCCTTGACTCTCCAGACTTAAGTGATCCTCCCACCTCGGACTCTTAAGTAGTTGGGACTACAGGCACATGCCACCATGCCTGGCTAATTTTTATTTTTTCCAAAGATAGGGGTCTCACTATGTTGCCCAGACTAGTCTCCAACTCCTGGCCTCAAGTGATCCTCCCGCCTTGGCCTCCCAAAGTGTTGGTGAGCCACTTTTATTATTATTATTAATTATTATTGAGACTGAGTCTCGCTCTATTGCCCAGCTTGGAGTGCAGTGGTGCAATCTCAGCTCACTGCAATCTCTGCCTCCGAAGTTCAAGCAATTCTCATGACTCAGTCTCCTGAGTAGCTGGGATTACAGGTGCCCTCCACCATGCCCGGCTAGGTTTTGTATTTTTAGTAGAGACAGTGTTTCACTATGTTGGCCGGGTTGATGGGGAACTCCTGACCTCAAATGATCCTCCCACCTCTGCCTCCCAAAGTGTTGGGATTACAGACATAAGCCACCTTTTAAATGTGTCTAGAGGTGACCCATTTTACTCTTCTACTGCCACCACCCAGAACCGAGCGTTATCTTCTGGCTGGCTGATTTCAGTAGCCTTCTCGCTGGTCCCCCTGCTGAAACCCCCAGGCCTTTCCGACTGGTCCTCATACCACAGCCACAGGGATCCTTCTGAAATGTCAGTCGATGTCCATTCTCTGCTCAAAACCCTTCAAATTGCTTCCCAACTCCTTGAGAGTAAAAACAGGAAGGCCTAACTTTGGTCTCTAGGGCCCCACTCCTTCCTTATCTCCTGCCCTCTCTGGGTCCTCAAGACAGCACATTCTGGCTTCAGGGCCTTGGTCCTTCGGGTCCCTCTGCCGTTCCATACAGAAAGCTCCCAGGCCCTCTCTCTCCAGGAAGCCGATCCCTGGAGGAGCACTGCAAATAACAACAGGCTGCCTTCTCTCTTCACTTCATCCAGTGGTGTTTTTCTCCAGGGCACTTAAAACTGTCCAGTATTGGGCCAGGCACAGTGGCTCACGCCCGTAATCCCAGCACATTGGGAGGTCGAGACAGGCGGATCGCCTGAGGTCAGGAGTTCGAGACCAGCCTGACCAACACGAAGAAACCCCGTCTCTACTAAAAATACAAAAAATTAGCTGGGCACGGTGGCGTGTGCCTGTAATCCCAGCTACTCGGGAGGCTGAGGCAGGAGAATTGCCTGAACCCAGGAGGTGGAGGTTGCAGTGAGCCGAGATCGCGCCATTGCACTCCAGCCTGGGTAACAAGAGCGAAACTCCGTCTCAAAAAAAAAAAAAAAAATACAAAAATTAGCAGAGCGTAGTGACAGGTGCCTGTAATACCAGCTACCGGGGAGGCGGAGGCAGGAGAATCGCTTCAACTCGGCAGGCGGAGGTTGCAGTGAGCACTCCAGCATGGGCAACAGAGCGAGCCTCTGTCTCAAAAAACAAAACAAAACAAAACCCACAAAAAAACCTGTCCAGTATTATAGATATTAAGGTTTATTAGTCAATTATTTGTCAACTGTGCCAGGATCAGAGACTGTTTCGATCACTGCCCCACCCCCTAGCATACAGGAGGTGCTTAAAAAAATAGCTCAATTACACATTAATAACAAAGAAACAAAAGTACACACATAAGGCATTTGTATGTGCCAGTTTTCACTGTCAGAGCTTTGTAATGCACTGTCCCGTTCATTCTCAGGTGCCCGTGGGAGGAACCACTATATTATTACACTTTTTTTTTTAATGTGTGAGGAAATCCAGGCATAGGGACGTGAAACAGCCCACAGATAGCAAATGGTGGAGAATAATTTAAATCCAGGTTGCTGATTTAAATAGGAACGTTCCCATTAATCTGGAACGTTCCGGCACTTTCTATGCTGTGTCCCCCTAGATGCTAAAATGATCTGATCGCAAATAAGACAGAATCGGTCTACACAAAGTGGGCTGCGGGCCTTTCGCAGAAATAAGCTTGAAGAGTTGAGGAAGCGGTCGTTGAAAGTGAGCGTGCGATTCCCGTAGGAAGCGCGCTCAGGCGGAGAAGGGGCTGAGCCCCGCCTTGGAAGCCGCAGCTGAGGAAGAGGAACTGCGGACTCGGCTTCTGCTTTTCTCTGCGGCCCCTCCCGCTGGGGCCTGGTGTCAACTCTCAGCGCACTGAGTCCGCCGGCCGCTCGGGGGCGCCCGAGGCGGAAGGGGGCGTTGCGGCGCCGCCCGACGTCGCGTCCTCGGCGGCTGCGCAGTGCGCACGTCAAAGCCGGGCTCGGGCCGCGAGTGGGGCGCGGGGATCGGGGAGCGGCGCGGCCTGGGAGACACAGAACCTTCAGGCGCCGGGGCGGGGGCATAGGCGAAGACTAAGGCGGCGTCGAGTCCCGCAGCAGCAGCCGCAGCCCGAGTGAGAGCAGCACCGCGGCAGCCGCCGCGGGAGCCCCTGGGCCGCCGTCCGCCCGTGCAGCCGCCGCCGCGGGAGCCCGTCGCCTGAAGCAGGAGCGGGCGGAAGACAACGGAGGGGCCCAGCGTCCGAGCCACGCCGCGGGGACTGAACGAGCAGCCCGAGGCGGCGGCAGCCGAGGACGGGGACGGCGACGACGCGGAGGCAGAGAAGGGAACGCCCAGCCCAGCCCCGTGAGTGACCCCCGGCCCGGCCCTGCTCGTGGCGCGGACGCCCGCCCAGCTTCCGCCTGCCCCGCCGGGCCCTCACCGGCTCCGGGGCTGCCTCCATTTTCTCTGGTGGCGGCGGCCTCAGCCCGGCTTGGCCCCGGAGCCCGCGGGAGCAGCCGGGCTCGGCCTGCCCTCCCCGCCCGCCTCAGCCCGGGTCCCTCGCTGAGACGCTCCCCTTGCTTTCGCCGGCGCGGGGCGCCCGGGGGCCTGCGGTCCAGGCGCTCCTGCCGCCCCCTCTGTGGTTCTCAGGCCGGGTTGGCGGCGCGGGGCGGCCCGGGCCGGAGTCGGGAGGGCGGGGAAGTGCGGGCCGGGCCAACTGTCACCGGCAGCACCCAGGCTCCAGCGTCTCGCTCCCGCCCCTGGTAAACTTCCTGTTGTCGGGAGGCGGATACCAGCTTTGTGATCAGTTCAGGGAAATGCCTAACTGATTTCTCGTTAGGATTTGTGCGGTCGGAGCGTTCTCGAGTGCAATGGAACCATCCCGAGCGCGGACTGCGTGCAGACGCAGTAGTCGGCCCGCGCCGGAGGGATTCAAAGGTGAAGCCAGCCCCTGTCCCCTCCCCCGAGGAGCTGAGGCTCTGGTGTGGGAGATAAGACGCGTACACAAATAACTGCGATACCGGGAAGGAGGTGATAAGTCCTGTGAAAGAAGGACAGAGAGCTAGAAGGGCACCCGGCGGAACCGAACCGATCACTTCTGCCTAGCAGAAACCTGGAAGGCTTCCTAGGCGGGGGGTGCCGAGTAGGGTCTTGAAGGCCTGATGAGATTTAGGAAAGGAGGGTTGCAGAAGAGTGTGGAAGGGCAGCAAAAACGAGAAGGCAAAGCCTAGAAATCATGGATCATTCCGTTTGTTTGCATAGTGCAGGGGCGGGGGGTATTGGGCTAAAGAGGTATTTTGGGGCCAGATCCTTGAATGCTGTAGAGGAGCTATTTGAGCAGCATTCTAAGAGAAACTTAGAGCTCATTTCTCAGTGACTCATAAGCCCGGAAATGTAGGCTAGGGGATATTAAAGGCGCTCTTGTGAAAGAAGAGAGAAGGAAGCCCAGTCAGGAGTTGACATTCTGTGCCTTGAATGTAATGCAGTTGAGATCGATTTTGACAGCTTCCCAGATATTCCCATGCCCAGGCTAAGCAAAGTACTTTTGCAGAAAGCCTCATTAGATGTCAGGCTCTGAAGAGATAATGGAAAGGTGTATATAAAATAAGCTCATTTCATACAGAAGGTTTTTTTGTGCGTTCGCTAACGCTAAAATGCATAAAAACTTCTTGCACTTTGTATTAAGTGTCTGCTCTTTGGAATTACCAAACTAAACCTACATTCTTTGAGGTGGCTTTTGTGTAAAATAACATAAATTGATGATTTTTTAAAAAATCAAATGGTTATTAATATTCTGATACAGAAAGCGGGACAAAGACCTTTTTGTAGAAAGGGTAAGGCTTTCTTTATTCGTTTTTATTTTTTATTAATTATGAACTCTTTATAGTAGAGGCAGAAGTGAAAGTATTTAGACCTATTTTGTGCTTTCTTCAAATTGCTAGCAAGTAATTAGCAGTTGTATTTGAAATCTAGACTCTGTGATCTGTGAAAGCAGCTTAGGGCCTGTGTTTTGTAAGCATGCGTTTGTTGTTTGCCTGTATGACAAGTGAATGCCACCTTTTTTGCAGTTTAAAAATTTTCCGCTTTTCGAAATAATACCTGATCTTTGTCAAAGCTTGCAAAATTCAGGGAGTACTAGAAAATCTTTAAAACATTGTCTTTAATCTTACCACTCAGATTTGGTTACTGTGAACATTTTTGCATGTTTCCTTTCCAGTCTTTTTCTGTGTATTTTTTCTCTGCATAATGAAATACATTGTATGCATATAATACACATCTCTTATTAAGCTTTTCTTGTCATTAAATACCTTTATATAAAAATATTTTTACTCAACAATGGAAGTCTTCTAAGTGTGTTATGTTTTTCTGACAAAGTTGTATTTTTTTTTTTTTTTTTACCTCAGATGAAGTGCAGTAGTTACACTTAATAACTACTGCTGTGGACAGAACTTTTTTCTAAAGGCTACTTATTTGATATTTATTTAGAGACCGTCTTGCTCTGTCACCCAGGCTGGAGGGCAGTGGCACAATCTCAGCTCACTACACCCTCCGCCTCCTGGATTCAGGCAGTTCTCCTGCCTCAGCCTCCTGAGTAGCTGGGATTACAGGCATGCGCCACCACACGCGAGCAATTTTTGTATTTTTAGTAGAGATGGGGTTTCTCCATGTTGGCCATTCTGATCTCAAACTCCTGACCTTGCGATCTGCCCACCCTGGCCTCCCAAAGTGCTGGGATTACAGACATGAGCCACTGTGCCCGGCCCTTGAAGTATGTTTATTACTTTCTCTGTAAGATTTGGTTCCTCTTGCTTGTTGAATAAAGTTTTTATTACTTGGCAGGATGTGTGTTATCATACTGTCTCCCACAGACGGTGATGAGCGCCTCCTCCCACCCCCCACTTCACTCCTGAAAAATAGTCTCTATACTAGGCCCATTCGCATAGGTTAACTATTTTTTGAACGTAACATCACAAAGATTCAGGCTGGATAGAAGTATAGAATATTTCATGAAATGATTTGCTACTGTAACAAATGGGTAGTATTTGCTTTTTTGGTTTGTTTTCTTTTTCTTTTTTATTTTTTTAGAGATGGGGTTTCTCCATGTTGGTCAGGCTGATCTCAAATTGCCTACCTCAGGTGATCCACCTCCTCAATCTCCCAAAGTGTGTTTTGTATTTTGAGACAGGTTCTTGCTCTCTCACTCAGGCTGGAGTGCAGTGGTGTGAACATGGCTCACTGCAACCTCAACCTGGGATCAAGCCGTCCTCCCACCTCAGCCTCCCCTGTAGATGGGACCACAGGCTCCCACCACTACATCTGGCTCAGCTAATTTTTATATTTTTTGTAGAGACAGGGTCTTGCCATGTTGCCCAAGCTGGGCTTAAGTAATCCTACTGTCTTGGCGTCCCAAAGTGCAGGGATTACAGGTGGGAGCCACGACACCTGCCTGGCTGTTTGTTTTTTAATTTCAAGGCAGCTTACTTTCCTTCATTAACATTTTAGACTTCAGGTTCTTGCATTAAGTCAGTTTTTTCCCATGTATTTTACGTTCTAAGGTGTATTAAGAAGATTTCTGTTTCATCATATATAAAGTGAGATGCTGAGTAAGGCTGTGTACATTTCCTAAAGTTAATATCAAAGAATTGCTGAGAAAGTCCAGTGTAAGTATGGGGTTGGGTAACTTGATTTTATTTGAATATTTGTATATTGCAAATGTGTATGTCACACAGGGTCTTTATTACTTTGGAATATTTACTAAAGTTTTCTGTTTTGATCAACTTTTGTAGGATTGTAGGTTTCTTTAATTAACTGCCGTACTTTCCCAAGAGGCTTTTTCCCAGATTGATGACTAATCTCTCACAGTTTAGCCATTTGCCAGGAAAATACACAAATCCAACCTCCCCAACCCCACCCTCCAAAAATAAAATTCAGCAGTAGGACAGAATTTTATTTCAGGTATTGTCTTTTGGTTATCTTTCTGGTGTTTCTATTCCAGCTGTATTTTATTTTTTAATTAAAAAAAATTTTAAATTAGATGGCGTCTTGCTCTGTTGCCCATGCTGGTCTTGAACTCCTGGGCTTATGCCATCCTCCTGTCCCAGCCTTCTAAAGCAACTGAGATTATAGACGTGAGCCACTACACCAGACTCCAACTCTATTTTAAAAGTTCAGGGCAAGCAGGGTAGCCCATTCCTATAATCCCAGTGCTTTGGGAGGCCAAGGTGGGAGGTTTGCTTGAGACCAAGAGTTGGAGGCCAACCTGAGCAACATTGCAAGACCCCATATCTACAAAAATAAATTAACTGGGCATGGTGGAGTGTGCCTGTAGTCCTAGCTACTCAAGAGGCTGAGGAGGGATTGCCTAAGCCTAGGAATTTGCAGCTGCAGTGAGCTATGATCCCTGCATTCCAGCCTGAGTGACAGAGCGATTCTGTGTCTCAGAAAATGTCTGTATAAAATAAAAATAATAAAAATAAAAATTTTCCTCTTTTTCATTGTTCCTTTTAATTGGGCATTTGATGTTATGAGTGTCTTCATGTGTTACAGAAATAGGACTATGGAAGATGGATTAATATGGATAACAGAAAAACTTTGGTAAACTTTTTTTTTTTTTTTGGCAAACTTTGTTGTGTGATAGAATTGTGGGAAAAACAGATCAAATCTCTGAATCTCTAGGTTAAATTACTTGGAACTTGTTATTTAATTATTGAGGTGTAAAGATCTGGCACTATGAGAGCAAGTAACTAAAATTGCATCGAGATTTAGTCACCAGTCTATCTTTTGGCCATACTGTGAGAAGACTTGTATTAGAGCCACCTTTAATTAAAGAAGGGATTGAGCTGTGTGAGAGTTCTTACATTGTGTGCTCTTAATAACTATCCGACCAGACCCTAACCACTACTTTTTAAAAAATTCTCCTGCAAGGGGGTCTTGCAGTGAAAGAGATTGGGCTCGACACCACTAATCTCTGCTTTTATCAGTCCAGAGTATGGGGATGGAGCATAGAGAAGCAATTATTTCTGCCATCACCATTTGTAGAGTGGACCAGTCTGTGAATAAAAAATGATGAGTGTTCTGCTTGTTTCTCCGGCCCTCCAAGGATTATGCGAAGAGTTACTGCGGGCCTAGGTGGCAGATCATAGACTGGTGGCAATGAAGTCAGGTTAACAGCTTGTCGCCATCTGTATTTTTCGGGGTGTGTGTTGTAGTCCTTAGTTGTGCCATTTCTGTCTCACTGAGCTTCCCAGTCCCACTGTGCTTTTAACTTTTAAAACAGAAGGGGTGAGGGGACAGCAGAATTGTGGTTTATAGCAGCTGTGATGTTAAGCCTGCAGAGGAAGGAAGAATGGCATGCAGAGAATTGC